TATAAAAAAAGAATAGAGACACGTGTCCCATTATTTAATGTGAATACATCATCTATTAGCCATATTAAAAAAAAAAACACACCTATAATCACTATCTGCAGATTTGGTGACTCCCTATACCAGGGGTCGGCAACCTTTTTGATATGAAGTGCAATTTAAAAAAATTAATTGTGATCAGTGTGGCGACGATCGTGAACTGTCAACAGGAGGGTGGGAGGAGCCTCAATGGAAGAAGCAGCAGTGTGTAGACCTCTTTCACATGTCAGCGCAACTTGCATGATGCTGTTTAAACACATTTTATTAATTGGTTATTTGGTTTAAACGGCATAATAATAATAATAATAAGGACGACCTGTGATTCTCCAGAACACACAGATGGCCAGTCCACCCCGGTGTAGCATATTATTTCGATGAGAGATGAGCAGATCACCACTGGGCTTTCAACTAAAGACACAGCCACGCAAAACCTGTGGCATTTGTACAGCTCCTTATGGGTACTGCAATTTGTGAAGTGCCAGAGCGGCAGCAGTGCTTTCCTCTGTGGTGAAACGATCAGCCCTGCACCACGGAGGAAAGCGGCAGAAAGTCGCCTGGAGTTAAAGAGAGCGGGGCTGCGTTGAGTGCATGGCTTCCTTCTGCAGGTAACGGGGAGACGTGCTCTGGCGGCGGTCTCGTTCAGGATCCGAAAATAAAATGTCAATATTTTGCACACTTATTCCACTTATTCCTAGTGTGCCACTGGTTACGGTGCCGACCTCTGCCCTACACCATGACTTTTGTGACAATCAGTGTCTTTTGTCATTAATTCAGTCATGCTGAGTTATTAAAAGCATTTCACCAAAGCCACATACTTACTCTAAATAAAAAATACCAGGAGAAGTTTTTTAATCATCTTACATTTTGAAGGATTTAAGGATTGTTCACTTGGGAAGTGGTTTTATACAGAGGATTATCGATGATTTACCAAGGATTATTGACCAGATTTGTGGAAATCTCGAGTGATAACAATCCACGGACAAAGACTCTGGCAGGCGCACATTCTTAATGATTATCATCCTACGGACAACTGGAAGAAGGCTCAGAGTTATCGCTATTCCGGCATGTCGGAAGCCTATTATGGAAGTCAATATCTCAAGCTATCTGTGTTGGCAAGATACACTGCAGCGACCTGTCGATACAAATTCTTCTTGGTCTGCACCATATATCTACACGTGTATTGAGTACTAGTGATTTAAATACTCTGTGCCATACCTGTTTTAAGAAATGCAATGGCTTGTGTCCTCTTTGCATTACAGGTAATACACCTTTTGTCTCAAAGGTCCCTTAAAGACTGACAAAATCAATATCCGTTTACCAAAGGAGCAAGAAATGGTCATTCAATATACGCATGTCCCCATTCTGTACTCATGTCACCACAAATACAAATGATCCCAAAGTCTTTACTTTTTAAGGTATATATATCATAGCAGTTCTATAATCAATCATATCCTATTACTTTAACTGCTGTTAGACAGCATTATACATTCAGAAAACTTCCTTTATGATACAAAATTAAATAACCAACTTTAAAATATTTGGGTTTTTGGACTGACAAACATTGAGAATGTCTAAATCATTCAAATGTAGTTTCTTTAAATATCCAAATAAATGGGGGTCTGTCCTTGCATTTAGGAAGTTATAACAACTTTTAAGATTCATAATCCCCTGAGCCAATGTAAATGTATAGCAGCAACACTATTTGATAGGCCCTACTCATTCTGCAAAGTAGCAATTTTTCTCTATGTGCATACTGTTCATCACAGTTTCATAGGCTACACGCAGACACAACTATATAATCAATAGGGACAGTGACATTGTGTATCCCAAAACCACACATAAGACCACATTTAGATCCTTTTATATTGAAATTGTTCACCACTGATTTTAGCCAACGAGTGAGGTCATTGGGACCCCTGTCGTGTATCACTACTGTTAACCTTTTTGGCCCTGCATTTTATTTGAACTTTCCAGACCACGTTAGATTTCCTCACTATGTTACGCCTTTTTTAGTCACCTGGTCGCCACACTAGCTAAACAATGCTACACACCTGCTCATCATTTACGCTCCTAGTAGTACAGTATATATTCCAGCCATACATCTGTTTTCCCTCCTTTAAATAGCTTTGTGGACTCTCTTCCGCAATCTATCACGTTGCATAACCTGCTTTCTGGGGCCAGTCTTTCACTTGTCTACTAATCTTGCCATTTGGGTTATTGCACGGTATAACTTATTTCTTGTTGTCAAATGAAACACAGTTTCTTTAAAGCTCTATTTAATTCAACCTGTTCTTCCTTTCCCTGAAATGAGGACACATGCAAAAAGCCATGACTGATCTGTCTCGCCAGCTACAGTATAATTATTCGCAAGCATTCTGTCCTTCACTTTTACCTGTCGGCTAGTCATTGATCTATTGTAGTACACCACACATCTACTGTAAGTCTTCATCTTTTCGCCCTCCGGAGTTTCCTTCCCTTCCATATGTAATGTACTTAGGACTACAATCAAATGTTCTTTCGACCTCCGGGAGTTCATTTGATGAGCCTCTGTTAATCTAATCTATAAAGTATATGGGGTAGCAAGGAAATTGAAATTTGCTACGCCATAAGTTATGTATGGGGAAAATTGCTATCTCTTAACAGATTTCACACTTTTTGAGTAGTTCTAACTGTAAAAGGGTGGGAGACCTATCTGCTTTACATCCCTGAATGTCACAGTGTCAGCAGAATCAAATGAAGGTTACACATTTCTGTCCTACAAAAGAGCCTTACTATATTTGTTACTTATACTTTAATAATGATGAACATTAGGTTGTTTTGGCCACGTTCAACACTTATATGAATGTGATGTTACTACAGTAGTAATCTGGTTGCAAAACATATGATAATTAAGCCAGTATCATAAAGCATAAATGGAAGCTGATATAAATCAAGTAAAGCAAGGACTTCTTCAAACCCATGCCTGAACTTAATGGAAGATCAAAATGTATAAATGTTTTAAGAAAAAAAAGTCGTTCCTTTTGAGATCTCAAGAACTTCAGTGTTGCAATGCCACTGAAAACACATTTTAAAGTTTTATACCAACTAGAACAAAGGTACACTGCACCACAGTATTGGAATCCACAACAAGCATTCAAGCTTTACAAGCTAAATGAGCCCTATCCCTCTGAAGAATTATATGCCTAAATAATAAAAAATAAGTAGTTGCCGATTCCTCAGCGCTTATGGGAAACCAGCTGCCTAGTCGCTGTTCAGAGGGTGCGTTGGCTTGTTAAAATGCACTCCATCAAAGTTTCCTTTGAAGTAATAGCTGACAGAAAACATAATGTGAATTTGACCTGACACGTCTGTGAAAGAAATTGCCTGTGAAATACTGAAGAAGGGAAATGGGGTGAAGTCAGGTCTCACAGCTCTTTTGTGCAGTCACCCCAGCACAGAATGCATTTCAATTAAGAAGTTGTCCATGGCTCGATGAGAACGTCAGGATGTAGTTGTTTATTTTAATATTTGAAGTTAATGTACGACACTCATTGCTGTTTTACACATTTCCAAACAAATGAATTGAATCTTCTTACTCATCAAATACAAAGACAGTCCCATCTGGATTGTACATGAATTGTAAACCTGCAGTATTGCCTCATCCCTGTCCTCATTATAAATGACACTGGTTGTCTGCCATTTCATCACTGTTCTTGTCATTCCCTGTGCCACAGTAAATAATCAAATGGCAGTGCTATGCAAAGTCTATTTCCTTTCTAACATATACACAATACAACTTTAAAACTCCTTTGTGAGAACTGGGTATGGTTTTTGCAGTCAAAAATGTACCTACTGTGGCTGTATGTGAAATGAGAACAGCTGGGGCAGAATAAGTGCACTACTACTTTATTAAGACATCGCAATATCACAATGCATTGAACACAAATGTGACCCGCTCTATCGAAATCAGTCGGAAGTCGCAACGGCTCAAAAAAATACTTTTTGTATAACAGTGTATACAACTCAAAATGTGTCTTCGGGTCAATGCGACTGATTTCGATGGAGCAGGTCACAAATACACTTGATGACTTCTGAAACGTATCATTTTATTTATTTTATTTTATCGGTTTTATTGGTGTAGAGATGGCAAATTTGGTCGAAGGAAAGGTTTGGATAGGTGGTGTGTAATTTGTAAGATCTAATGCAATTTCAGTTAACGTCAATAGAGAGCTCACCCAAATAAAAACCAAAATGTAACCCTTGTAGGACATTCATTTACCTCTAGAACCACTGGATGGGTTGCCATGTTTCTTTACACATATTTATGGTGAATTTATCTGAATACATTTGTCGATCTCCCCATTAACTATAGTTTGTTGTCCAGTGCTGACATTACATTTACCGGACCTTTGTCTGCAAATTGACTGCACACAGTCCCTTGATCTTTGCATCATTTCTTTCAAATAAATGTAGGCTTTGGAATGTCCAAAGTTAACAGAAACAGAATTGTGTTTTCAACCAAACTGTGTATTAAACACTGAAAAGTGGATAGTGGATCCCCTGATCTTTCAACCTGCACGACTTGTGCTTCACTCAGCCATAGTCCAACATTGTCTAGTAACAAGCCATACCCCCCCACAAAAAATGAAACAAAACATAGTGTGCACTTTGTTTCAACAATGATAAAAAGCCTGTGCCTTTGACTCTACTTTTGCAGCCTAGTGTTGTCATTTAGACTGATTTAAATTGTACTTCTTGCAATATGCACATTTACAGACTAAGGTCAGTGCTCATACAGGCTGCACTAATAGGAACAGAAATCTGAGTGTTTACATTCTGTGGTGCAGATGTTATCTGGTCTGTTTACCTGTCCCATCTGGGATTAGTGTTAATGTGGCAGCTTCTCACAGTTTAAGCAGCTCTAAGAATGTAGTAAAATATGTAATTGCTATCATTAGTCATTTAAAACATTATTCCTCCAACAGTGTCCTCCAGGGCTGAGTCCTATGAAGGATGGGACCGGGTGCTACGACCACCACATCGGCATCGACTGCTCCGATGGGTTTAACGGTGGGTGTGAGCAGCTGTGTCTCCAGCAGCTGGCTCCTCTGGAGGATGACCCGACACTCTACAACATCCAGATGTTCTGTGGGTAAGGAATTACAGATTCTTGGTTTAATTCTAAATTACTTAATTACTTTATTTCATAACATTGTTATGTTGAGTCTGATCCTTGACATGGCATCAAGTCATGAAAGCTTGGGATGTTTTCATTCAAAGATGAACAAAATCAATTCCTATATTATTATATTATGGAAAAGCATTAGAATTAGCAATTTAAGAATTTTGACTTTTAACAGTTTTCTATTTCCATTTGAAATTAACACATTTGCAAGTTTGGCTTTTCTATACCTCACTAATGGCGCATTTCCACTACACGGCCTCGCTCGGCCTCGCTCGGTATGGCTAGGCCTCGTTAGGACTGGCTCACTTTATGGCGCATTTCCATTACAGTTTAGGAACTGGGGTAGTATCTATAGTAACGCAGTGTAGGCGGAGCCGTGACGTCATCTTCAATGAGAACCCCAGAAAAACAACACAGCCGTTAGCTGTTAGCACTCAGAGCTCACAGCTCCTCATATATGTTCAGAAACTAGACAAAAGTTAAACAAGTACAAACCACAGACTGCCTGTGTCATGGCGAATACAGTCGCTGCTTTATTTATGTCTGTATAGGCCGTTGTTGTGAGTGTGGATGGTCGGAGCATATACTGCGTTAGCTTAGCCAATCTCCATTCAGAAAACACGCATTTTAAAAGGTTTTTCGCCTGCCGTCTGTCTGCAGACTTGTCAAAGCATTAATTCATGGTTTTTACTAACCGGTATCAGTATGTTGTTACTTCGGCATCATTTTGAAACGTGTATTACAATTAAATCACAGTCAAATATGTCTATCTTGTTGTAGTTGTAGCCCCCTTGCCAGCGATTCTCTCTCCAATTTAGCATACTCAGCCCGACTCAGCCTCGTTGTCTCTGGCCCTAGAACCACGATTTTATGAGGCCAGAAAAACTGTGAATTAGGACCCGCCGGCCGGTACTAGGCCAAGTGGAAACGCAACCAAAAACGGGCCGCTGACGTCACAGCCCTCTTAAACCGTGCTCCGCGCTGTAGTGGAGACGCGCCATTATAGGGCTGGTTGACCAGCTTGTTCGAATCTGACCTGGCACCATTTACCATGTTTCATCCCCTCTATCTCCCCCTTTCAACATTGTGTTCAATAAAGGCACAGGTGCTCCAAAATATAACAAAGAATATACAAATATATATATAAATATATAATTGGGTTAACATATTCCAACTTACATGAAAGTAGGACATCTAACCAGCTAATTCTTGCTTTTCATAACTAAAGTAATATCAATGAAGTTGTCTAAGTTATTGACCATGAGTCTGTTGCCCAAGTGTGTGTAGTGAGGTGTCCCCCCATGTGTATCCTGTGTATCTATCATGCTGTAGGCTGACCACCAACAACTAAATCAAACACAATTAAGACACCTATAGCTTTTTCAAACTCAGAACAAAAATAATAATAATTGAATGCTTTGATATATGCTGGAATTACATGTCAACAGCATATATATATATATATATTTCAGTACTAAGGTCTTCAACTCGGTACAAATATGGTGACTGTAGGCCATTGTAGATGATACAGATCTCTCTCCTTTCTGTGAGCCCCGGTGCCCTGTGGGTGCCCTTTGTACTCTCTTTCAAAGTCACTTCCTTTCCCTTGCCATCTTTAATGACATTTAATATAGATTCTATACGATATATACTTCATTATAAATTCAACAGATCAAGAAGATCAATGATAAAATTCTCCATTTATTTTAAACACAGCCGCATATAACTGAGGCTTTTCAATCGTACCTCCAGCCAGTAAACTGAGTGACCCTTAAAAAATGTCTATAAAAGACCATCATCTGGTGCTTTATGTACTGTATATTCCCTCCTGCTCATGTCCAACAGTAATTCAATACAGAGATCTTAATATATTATGTTGAAGTATATTCTCCATTTTCTTGCTAAATTGTTCAGAAATAAATGTGTTTAGCTAGCGTAAAGTCTGGCCGAATCTTGCTTGTCGAAACAAAATAAAAAATGCATCAGTGTTACACTGGTTTGAGGACAGCAAACACGCTATTTGTTAGAAAGCACCCTTGGTGGAGTTAGTAGAGTAAGTGAGCAATTTTGTTGTTGTAGATGGTCTTTTTGGTTAAACTGACAGGCATGGAGGCAAGTAGGGGTGATGAGGGAGTGTCAGTCCTGCCTAAAATCACCCATAATGATAACCATCATATCTGTTAGTGATTAATTTGTATGAGTCTATTTACTGTAGGCATCCTACAAATTGATATGACTTACATCAGGTTGGAGCTTTTCTACAGTACCAATGTAACTGTGATTGCTGACACCTAAGGTGCTCGTGGCATGTGTTTGCCACCCAGAAAGCCAACAGCTTTTTTTTGCTGTTTATAATGGTCCAACTATTAGACATTGTGACCATGGCAACAACGATGTAGAAAAAACATCCAGGAGCTGATTTTACAGGAATTTCAGCTGCCTTAAATGATGCATCTCTTCACCAGCAGACATCAGACACATCAATAAAATAAATCCGAAACAAACATCAGATTCTGAGTACTTTAGAGGCCCTGACAAGAATAAAATCCTGAGTGGAACATTCAATACTCAAAATGTTTTGGAGCAGAAGCTCTGAAATACTGAATGTTGATGCATACAGTGTATGATCGTTACATACAAAAATATGTGTAAAATGCAGACAGAGTTATTTTTCTTTCCACTCATTGCTGTTACATTTTAATGGAGGTGTCACATGTCACAATGCCTTCATTTAAAATAGGCCCATTACTACAGATATACGGTTAGACTATCCACAATTCTACTGCATGATTTGGTACCATTGTACTCTACTGGACACACTCTTTTTGGGTTTTCCATTGACAAAGATTGTGGAAAAAACCTGGTACCTTTTAGTAACCCTTGGTCTTAGGTTGAAACGGAGCTGAGCCGATACCAGAAGGTAGAGTTAAAGGTCCCCTATTATACTGTTTTTCATCAATATATTATAGGTCTCAGATATATACAAAACATGTCTCTGAAGTGTTTGGCCCGAAATACCAACATATCACCCATTGTAGCATCCCATAAACCCCTCTGTTTCAGCCCTGTTTCAAAAGTGCTGATTCTCTGTCTGTTACTTTAGATGCAAATATGGAGCCACTCCCCACGCCCCTCTGCAAGATATTTGGTTAAAAATAACACAATGTTGCTCTAGGAAGAGATTTAGACCCCATTTACACGGGAACGAAACGGGTTGTATCCGCATAGTTTCTCTTGCGTATAGCCCTTTTATTTACACGAGGCCGTAACAAAACGATAGAAACGGACCCCGCAAACGATAACGGGTCCCAAGGTGGATAGATCTGCAAACGGAACGCTCTGGGGGGTCAAACGGCTCCGTGTAATCGCCTCTATACGATCATTTCCCGATAGATGAAGCCATAGCCCCGCCTCTCCCCACCTCTGCTGCTCACTGCTGTAGCATGGTCAGTAGCTACTGTCAGTACCTACTGCTAGTGCTACTGCTACGGACCATGCTACAGATGTTAGTGCAAAATCTACAGCTCCTCTACCACAACCATCAGCAACAAGTGGACATGGAGAATTACATGAACTACTACATGTTGCTAAATCCACCGCGGGGCATAAACAGAAGGGCAACCATGGCAACCATGCTCCGGGGTCTTCTTCGCTGCTTTTGGTGTATTTTGTGGCGGCAGCAGCGCCACTTACAGGCCTGGCATATGTACTACAGTGTTTCCAGTGGGTCAAGCGGTCTCGTGTGAACAGACACGTTAAATTAATCGAATGCGTGTGAACGGAAGACTTTTTTGAAAACGCATACTGTGCGTAAACGCAAACGTTCCCGTGTAAAGGCAGCCTCAGGTGATAAAGTGGGGGGTGTTACCTTGGTTGGTGATTGGCTAATGGTTACACAAGCCAAAAAATCGTTATGACATCATAAAGTGGCCAAAATCTGATCAGCTCATTTTCAGACAGGTTTTTATGGATCAGGACAACAAGTGAGCAAATATATTTTCCTGAAACTTCCAGAATCTATTTACACAGAGGGGACACATGTTTATGTATAAAAGCCATGAACAAGTGGATTTTGCATTATAAGCGACCTTTAAGTCAATAAAGACCACTGACTGGATGGAGAGAACTGTTGCTAGCACAACACAAAACCTGCACAAACCTGCCTTTTTCAAAAAGCCAAGCTATGGTTTACAGCAATCACATTTTTGTATTAACTACATTTGGAAGCCTCAAACACTTGTGTGTACAATGGACAAAGTGCAGACATTCCTCTGTTTTGTTGCAGATGAAATGCTTCATAGAGGGTCCTGTTAAAGATGATGTCATCACAGTTACATATTGCATTGCTACAAGTGCATCATACCACAATAAGGGGGTACGATCTGCAATGGAATATATAAAATGTATGGTTGTCAAAAGTGAGACGAGCAGATGGTAGGGTGCAGTGGAAACATGGCATCAGCTCATGTTGTGATGCGTTATATGGAGACCTGCATCATTTAATCTAAAGCCAGTTCACAGCCATGCTAAAGCCCCTCAGGGGTTTCACTTAATACACTAATGAGACCTCCTTTCAAGACTGTGTGGACATGTATAGAATGAATAACATCTTCCTCACCACTTATGATATTGCACCTGAGATCATTTGATCATTAATCTCACATGAATTCCATGATTTTGAAAAAACGTCAGAGTTCTAATCAGCCAGAATAACAAAAAAATACCTGCATGGCGTGTACATATTAACTCTACAGGTGGTCCAAGGTTAGAGTTGTTCATATGTTCTGCTCTAACAAGCTAAAGTTGTATTTTAAACAACATATTTAACTTTAGCTGTGGAGGCCTTCTAGTTCTAGTTTCTTTGAGTTCTAAAGAGATGTGACAAAGTAGCACCAGATCCTGGAAGCAGCTGATTTGTAGTTGAACACTACAAGCTGTTGTTTCTGTTGTCATCTTTACATTACACATGATGTTGCAGGCACAGTATACATACACACTGCTGTTCTATTTTATTCCTAACAACAGCATGTTGTTGTCACTATCCACTGTGCAGATGTGGCTAATCCTCGACCAGTCCCACTGGAGACTGGTATTATTTTTGAGACATTTGGCATCCAGTAGAGCTTCTCTCAGTTTAAATCCCTGAAATATTATCTTTCTCTCTTTAACCCCCCCTTCCCCAGTTCTCTCCCCCTACTTTGTCTGCTTTTGATTCATTTCACAGGGTATATTGTACACCGACATGTCAAAACATCATCAATATGAAAGAGCTTAAGACGCTTCTCAGTGTTTCTCTCCTTTTTCAGATGGGGGATTTTGTGCCACTTTACTAGAATTGATTTGGCTGATTCTACACTGTTGACTGAAACGTTCATGTTTTCAACACAGTGGAAATGCTGCAGAATATAACTTCAAAAATATTCAATCGCAAGGTTTGAATCAATATTCATGTCTGCCAACAGTCTACTTGTAAATGTGTTCATACAGTATTAGCAACTAAAAGTGCCTTACCGTACCACTTGGGTGTTGCAGTACAGTATAATCTCATTATCCATGTTCATTACATTAGGATAATGCTAAGGCTTTGAAGGCAATACATTGCAACATTCAATTATTGTAATCGATATTGCGGTTGTAATTTTAATTTGTCTACACAAAAAAAAGTTATATGATAGAGGCAAGCGTTATTAATAAAAAAAAAATAAAAAAAATGTTGCAATTTGTTGTTGAGGTCGTGCAAGGTTCCTTTTTTTACTTAAACATACACTTGGTCAAAAAACCACTGTAGCCCAACTTTAATGCTAAGGCTTTGAGGAAACTTGACACTTTAAAGTCTCATCAAATAGTGGGGTTGTAATTAAAATTGCATGTAATTATTTCCTCTAAATCAAGCTCGTAATGGTTGGAGCCAAGCATTATTAAAAATGTTCCTTTTTCTCTACCTGAGTATTATGAAATGAAAATGCAGCTGCTTCTTGTTGAGCTCCCGCAGATTTTTTTTTTTTTTTCACCTTTCTACATAAGAATTGATTAGTTTTCTAAAAGAAATCCATTCAGCCCAAATTTACTAAGATATAATATAAGTGGTATTGAATTGTAATCATGACTTTAGAAAGGGGCGTAACTGGCCATTTATAGTAATAACAAGCTTATTAGTTTGACAATGTTTCCATATCAGACTGATAACCTCTAATGATCTGCTGAGCTAACGTAACATTACATTACAAGACCAAACCAAAGACCTTGGTACAAACCGGCAGAGGTGGGAAGTAGTGGAGTACAAATACTTTGTTACTGTACTTAAGTGCATTTTTCTGGTATCAGTACTTTACTCCACTACTTTTCTGACAACTCTTTAATTTTACTTCTTACATTTTTAACACAATTACCTGTACTTTTACTTCTTACATTTTCAAAACAGGCTCGTTACTTTAGTTTTAATCTGTGTTTGGTGCTGTGATCATTATCATTTGGAGTCATTGCGTGCCTATTGATTTGAACACGATCCGTGTATCCATCATTTCCTGGTCTTCTCTAAACAAGAGGGACCAATGAAAACCTTTTCATTTTGCCGTTGTTCAGCATGGAAACATTCATTAGCTAACAATGACATTATTGTTCTATTAATATAAAGTGAGGTCAGGTACTCTTTAAAACAGCTGCTAGTTATGGGTACTTTTTACTTAGTACATTTCGAAGCCCATACTTCTTTACTTTTACTTGAGTCAAGAAGTTTTGTCAGCACTTCTACTTTTACCAGAGTATTTTTAAACACGAGTATCTGTACTTCTACTTGAGTAAATGATGTGTGTACCTTTGCCCTCTCTGCAAACCGGAGTCATAGCATGAGCAGCTTTGTCCTCTCCTGCACATGTACAGAAGTAAATGTATAATCCAGTTAAAACGTAAACCACTTTTCCTTTAGGTGCATCGAGGACTACAAGCGTGGTCCAGATGGGAGGTCATGTCTGCCGCTGTCGGAGGCCTGCACCGAGGGAATAGACTGCGCCGAGGCAGTGGACATCCCCGCTAACCAGACTGTGTTCGGAGACCTTTTCTACGGATACAACAACCACTCCAAAGAGAGCACGTCTGGACAGATCCTCAAGGCCACGTTCAGGTAAACACACAAGCTGTTAGTGAAGCGGAGCATGTGGGACACCGCTCTGCCATTTGTATCTCAGCAGGGGCCCCCGCTTGGCAGGGTTTGGGCTTCTACAGTGGTGATGATGGAACTTTTTCTGTCATCGTTCTTTAAAGTGCTCTGTTTAAAACAGTCTCAAGTGGCAGATGTCTTTGAAAAGGTGTATTGCATGTGTCAAAAGGTAAAGCTGGATATTGATTGAAAGTAACACTTGTGAGTAGGGACGGTCTGGCTTTTTGAGAATAGTTAGAGTTTGGGTATCTATGGTACAGAGTATTGATCTGGTAAGGGTGTTCAATTAATACACTTTTTGCCCCACTGTATGGAAGAGACAGGGATCACTTTTGATTCTAAGGCTTTAGTTAAAAAACAACTCAAATGTAAACAGTTTTATTGCAGCACGCTTATGAAAGGTTAATCACAGATGAAATCTCTAGTATGTACGTCGTTTATAAACAAATCATTTTAAATAGATTGTCCTCATTGTCGGCCAAACCATCTATCCGAGTCAATATTGGTTAATATTGGAATCAATGCATCCCTAGTTATGTGGGTATTTACATGTGATCTGAAGGTGTATCACAGAGAACAATACAATGGTATTTTTCCAATATGAATATGATACAATGCTATCAGATGGGTTTCCTGGCTTTATTGTGATTGGACCTCAGCCAGATGCTTTCTGTGACCATATCCATAGGAAGACAGCTACTCCTCGTCCTGCTTTCTCAGGCAAGACTGCCAACAACAGAGAACAATCTCCCTTGGCTAGGAATACAAAAAAAAAGCTCATAAAGCAGCCCTGCTTTCCTTGACGGATTGTTCACCAGTCCACCTGAAAATCCTGCTATTGAGATCTGACCATGATAACAATATTTCTGATTCAGTAGTATATCTAAAGGTCTTAAATTCTCAAAGCATTGAGTTAACTTTCCTAAAAAAGAAAATGTCCTTCAAAAAATATTAGTTTAACATTTCATTTGAAATGTCCTTGCTATTGCCTTCCTGCAGTAATGCTTGGTACTATTTTATCTGTTTGCAGGCTGAGATTGTAACCATCTATGAACTTAGAGTGGGATTGTTGTGACAGTGGGTTGTGTGCGTAGGAGGCTATTGAATCATTTTTTGTGGAGTTTCAGTGAGCAGCTCCAAAACTAAAGCAATTATTGTCACTACTGCCCCCTACAGTGGTAAGGAGGCTTATTATAAGTAAATGTAGATTTTAGGATAAAGTGCATTTATTTTCCCATGCATCCATTTTCCTCACCCATCCTGATGAAAGGCAATTGATCAGATGTCAATATCCAAAGAATCAAAATTAAGATTGTATTTTAATACAAAGTGTAAACAGTATCATAACAGAACTCCTTAGATATGATCCCTAACATGACTTGAAGTAATACAAAAAAAAGAGGATATTCTATGTTAAATACGGACAATTCAGATTGTGTTAGGCTATCTAATATGCTATCCAAAAAAGTAAACTTCCCTTTCCTGGAAAAGAGAGGAAAGGCAAGTTTTTCATATTGTTATAGCACATACATTATATATTTGTATATATAGCACCTTTCAACACAAGGCAATTCAAGGTGCTTTACAAAAATAAAATAAATGTAATAGCATATTGAAGACAGACAAAATAAAAAAAGCTAATATAGAATAATAGAGGTATAAAATACAAGAATGAATAGGACAAAATCTTTCCAAACTGTATTTCAAAACTGGCTTTATCACATACACACAGACATCCCTCCCCGAATCAAAGTGCAATGGTGCATTTACCAGGTGGAGCATGGGGTTTATAAGACCACCATATCAATACAACTAAACATCCAACATCAATGCAACTATGCCGCAAACCACAAAAACAACTTTATTGCCACTGCACACAGTAATAACCTCAGGTCAGCAGTATAAAGACCATCATGTTCAATAAAACCACACAGACATATTTTTAAATAATGCATTTTTTTTTCTCTGAAGGAGAATTGTCGTTCTACACCGACATAATCTAACAGATGTGAACGAATAATATAGACAAATAAAAACACTTTGGTGATTAATGATATGCAGCTGTGTTTAAAATCTCACTTGGCTCCCGTGGCTTTCTTGTCAAACAAGTGATATATTCCCGGGAAACTTAGCGAAACATTATAACCCATTTTTTATTAACAAAGACGCACAGAATATTTTAATACCATTGATGGCTTTGTTCGGCAAACTGAGATTTAATTGCCTGAATGGCTTTAGTCACGTCTGCTGATCCACTCACATGACATATCACTTCCTTTGTATTTATCCTATATTCATTGAAAGCTAGTGCAAGGCATTCAGTCAAATGTCTTCTACTGGGACGCCTGCTGTCTCATATTGAAATGTACTTCTATTCAGACAGTCGTGGCGCATTGAGTTGTGTCCACCCCCCCCAATACAGCACTTCTGTTATTGTTGACAGGGGTGTTAGTTTCCTAAGCGATATGCCTCTCAGCCTTTAATGCTGCGTTCACACCGGACGCGATGCGATGTTTGGGGGCGGCGCGATTACATGTAAAGTCAATGCAGAGACACGGACAGACGCGAATTCGCTCCGACGGCGCGCATGAAGCGGTGGACGCGGCGCGAATCACGCGATTGAGGCGATTGAACGGTGCCGCATTAAACGCGAGAGTTCAATTTTTTCAACTCGAGCGTCAAATTCACGTGACGCGTTCTCGCGGAAGCCAATCAGCGGTGAGGATCTCAGCCGCCGTCAACCACACAACATCAGCCGTTAGCTGTTAGCAGTTAGCACACAGAGCTCACAGCTCCTCATATCTGTTCAGAAACTGGACAAAAAAAAACAAGTACAAACCACAGACTGTCTGTGTCATGGTGAATACAGTCGCTGGTTTATTTATGTCTGTAGGCCGTTGTTATGAGTGTGGAATGAGCATATACAACGTTAGCTTCGCCTGGTCGACCCGATCTTCATTCAGAAAACAAGCATTTTAAAAGGTGTTTTGCCTGCCGTCTTGTCTGCAGACTTGTCAAAGCATTAATTCATGGTTGTTACTAACCGGTATCAGTATGTTGTTACTTCGGCATCATTTAGAAATGTGTATTACAATTTAATCACGGTAAAATATGTTCATTTGTTGTAGTTGTAGCTCCCGAGCCAGCGCGTCTTGTTTGAATGATGCGAGTAAACACAGCTGGCAGCCGCGGTGAAACTCCAGCGTTTAGAGCGATGCGATAGGAGCGATTAGAGCGAAGCGAATAGTCGCATCGCGTCCGGTGTGAACGCAGCATAACACTCTCAGGTTGATACAGTTCAAAAGCACACAATGGTGAAATGAAAGCAGTAGTAGTGCATACATAATCAGGTGGATGTGTCTCTGCAGGCTTTAAAAGCATATCAGATTGAATCAGTATATTTAAAAGGTCATTTCATTATGATGAAAGGAGAATCTATGTCAATTCCTTCCAAAAGAAAGAAGATGAGGGATAGTAATGCCTGCTGTTTTCATGGGTTGTCTTCAAAACACAATACATTCACCCTGATCTAAGGCAAATACTCTTAGGAGAAACAACTCAAATAAATACATAACCTTTTTGAGAGGTAAATGTATACTTGCCAGGTCCAAAGAGATGCTGTATCCCTTTCATGATTTTATGTGGATGGCAGAGCACTTTGAAGGTGCTTAATTATCACTGTCCGGCTGCTGCAATAATTTCCGCTGAACTCAGGAAGTCAAAAGGTCAGCAAAGTAATCTGCAGTCCAGGAATTTAATTTGGACTGTGCATGGATTCCGCTGCCCGGAGGAAACTCTGCCACTTAGAGATCCACTGCTGTGGTGGTAGAGAAGGATGGGCGGGCGAGGCAGTAAAGTTAATATCATCAAGAATCTAAATCTCAAATGTTCTGATCTCATTTGAAACTGCCTGTGAATTGAGAGCGGGGTCTGAGGCGGACTCTGAACAGCACTAACTACTTCCTGTGCAGATGAGGTGGTGGAAGAGGAAGAGAGAGTCTGTTGGGAGGCATGGTTAATGCAAAGCCTAATTATAAGAGATGGCAGCAAATTAATTAGAAACTGACCAGGAGCCAGTGTGCTGAAATTAAATGTAATTAGACCAGATGAACGTTTGAATGTAAAATGAACCAAATGTACGGGAAGGGAGCATCGCAATTGAATTCCAAAGATCCGTCAGGGCTCTCAAAGTCAGTGAAGGTGTCAATCTGAAGTTATTTCAAAACTAAAAAGCAAATTAAACTGTAGTTGGTGCTTGTTACATACATTAGTACAAATACATTTGTAAATGTCTGGTACATGGTGCTAAATCCGTCCCCAAGGAGACACATGTCAAATGTAATGCTGCACATCAAGAACTGTGCTGTCCGTCTGTATCCATGTATGATGCTGTCTTTAAAAAATGAGGGCCTTGTAATATGCTGCAATAGCATTGGAAAGTACTTCAATGGAAAACAGTTTAAGTACTTTCAATTGTACCAAATAATTTCAAGTCATACGGAATACTACTCGATTGTGAAAACAGTTTTTTTTATCTTGTGGAACATTTTTCATAAAAATGTCTTGAAAATCCTAAACTCCAAGCTTGACATATATAAGCATTACCAGGCAAGTCTATTGGGTTGCATTATGGGTAGGGTTGAGTTTTGGCAGCCTTTCAAGTCCAACATTTGAAATTCAGTCTTCCGTGATTGATGCAATGCAAGAGAGATCATTTTAGTTGGGGTGACTCGAAATAACTATTGGTTTTGTTGGACTACAAGAACACTCATCATTGTCCAGTTGTGTTTCAGAAAGGTTTGTGTTCTCCCTCACAATTTTTGTCAAGTATAAATATTATGTTTGGGGAAGCCCATAGAATAGACAACTTCCAAGTTTCTCACATAATACATGTTTATTAGCTACAGCTATTCATCTGATGCCGCAGTGCATTGAGTTTAATAAGAGATTGAATATCACCAGAG